CCCCAAAACCCCAAAACCCCAAAACCCCTGTTTTTCAGCACAAAATTGAAATAAAAATGGGTGGCAAATTTGAAATCTCAAAGGAACTTGAACACCCGGTCAAGAAGGAAGATCTGGTTGACCGTAAGCCTGAGTGGAGGGATATCTTGCCATATTTCACATCAGTTATCTTTGTGGTATCAATCCCAATTGTATATCATATTACAGGCTATCATCTTCTGCCAATATGGATAGGCTATGCTGTACTTCCTTTCATAGATCTTGTTGCCGGAAATGATAACTCCAATGTTTCCAAGAAGTTTGAAGAGGCATTTGAAAAGGATTGGAGATTTTTGATCCCGATGTATACTTTATTCATCTGAGATTTCCTAATTTACATCTGGGGAGTGTATTTAATCGCCTTTAAAGAGCCTGAGATAACTAAAGAGATGATAATTATTATGTTCTGTATGGCTCATTCGAGTGGATTCACTGGGTTAATGGGCCACGAACTGTTTCACCGAAGGTTCTGGCTACACAAACTTGTTGGTACTATCTCAATGTGCAAATTTTTCTATGGTCATTTTGTGATGGAGCATTGTGCAGGCCATCATATCAATGTTGGCACAGTGGAAGATCCTGCTACAGCAAGAAGAGGAGAGAGTTATTATAAATTTCTGTTTAGGAGTTCTCTCTCTGGAATTAAAGACGCTTTTAATAGAGAAGTTGAAAGAGCAGAGAGATGGGGACATTCAGGCTACGGACTTTATAACAAAGTCATCTTTTTAACCGCATGTCAGACCTTTTGGATTTTGCTAATGATATATTTTTTTGGTCAAAGAATGATTCTTTTGCATTTAATTTATATCCTCCTTCCAATTGCTTTATTAGAAGGTGCAAATTATGTTGAGCATTATGGGATAGAAAGGAAAAAGATTAATAAAAATTATTACGAAAGTATTAATCACTTACATTCTTGGAATACTCCTCAAAAAGTGACTAATTATCTCTCTTTCAGGCTCCAGAGGCATTCTGACCACCATGTTCATAGTTACAGGCCTTATCAAACTTTGAGATCTTATGAAGTATCTCCTCAGCTTCCATTTGGCTATGAAACATGAATCACAATGTCATTAATCCCAAGTCTTTGGTTCAAAGTAATGAACCCAAAAGTTGATGCATTAAACCTAGGCAAAGTTGTAAACCCTAAAAAAGCTGAAAAGAATGCCAGAATTGGTAAGTGTCACCCATTTATCTCTTATAGGGCACTATTTTGTTATTATCAAAGGAATAGTTCTGACTGCTGTCTTCCTGATAATATCAAATATTTAGTAGAAAAGCAACAATTTGATTCTCAATTTATGTTTTAAATTTCGGGGTTTTGGGGTTTTGGGGTTTTGGGGTTTTGGGGTTTTGGGG